TGCTTTTCATCAGCCGTTGACGCTCCATCACCATCCCCTTTCTCGGCCACCGCATCGAAGACCATCATCCTAAAATGATACCTGGCAAAATGGCTAGGAAAAAGAGCAAATCCTGTATACGGCGATCTGTCGAATCTTGCATACTGAACTTCCGTTATACTTGTCAAGACAGAATATACAACTTTTATTGGGCTGGCACCCCAAAACCCAAAATTCCCTTTAAAAAAAGTATAGGTTTTTTGCTCGAATGTAAGAAAATTATCGCAAAAAGTCCCTCAAATGTTCAATATCTCCCGACAACCAAAAAATGAATATTCGAGACTTTTTGCGAATTCAGCCATACAATACAGATTAATAAAAATCCGGCTTCCTCGGTCGGAAACTTTTGGATGTGTCAGGCACCGACTGTTCGTTCCTATGATGCGACAAATCCGCAGCTAGACAATTTATACGTAAAAAATCGGAAGCACGCATGGAGCTACCCTCTTTTCCGTAGCAATCCGAGTTAAAATTTGTTCAAAATTAGCCTTTCGATGCACGGACTGCGGTGCGCTAGCATCCGGATTACTGCCCTAACCAAGTCCACTACCCAACATTTCGGAAAACTTGCTGAAATGAAACTCTTGCCTCGCTGCTCCTCCGATAAAACAGCAACGTGTCCCGAGAGAGTAAAACTTAAAGGCCAAAGGAAATTCGGAACTTCGTCTTCCCCAGCACTTCACCCATCACCGGGGATGTTGGTAATCCAGAATTCCTTTCTCTTCAAGAGGATGCCTTCATCACAGGGCTAATGGTGAAGACAAATCTCGATGGCTCGAGCACCACACAGGACTAATGCCGTGGAATTTTGAAAACTAAATGTTGCCACATTTCACCTGTAAGAATTTACACCAGGGCTTCCTTGGATCGCAGCAACACTGAGGTGCTTTCCAGAATCCCACGTTTCAGGAGGTATACATCCTTCGCAAACAAACACTGGAAAACAAGAAATAATTTTTACCTCGCAGCCTCTGATGCTCACCAATGGCTCCAAGCACTCTATCCCGGAACGAACAGCTGAAAAAAAAAAAGAAAAAAAA